TTTCAAAACAACTTTTTGTTTCCTTTACAAAATTATAGCATTACAGAAATGTTGTAAACTAAGAAACTGCGAATATGATAATATTTGCTAGTGGGTGGAACCCTGACTCATGTCAAATCCTTCAATCGAACTTTTGATTTGGTACATGAAGAAATTTGAGAAATTGATTTTCAATCTATGTTTATTTGCACTATTTTATGCTTGAAATGTGTATCTTCCTAAGAAATATTTCTTCACAATTATGCATGAAAAGAAATCAAATAAAAAAATGCAATATATATTACAATGCCTAGTATTGAAAATATATTTAAATATTATGGTAAGCACACGTGTAATATATGATTAATCAAATTCATTGGAAATTTAACTTGGAATGATTAAATTAATTTTTCATATATTATTATATGGATTTGTTAATTTCACGTCCAAATTATAATGTTCTGAATCATTGCTTTGAAATTGTTTTTAAATTACAGACATGATAGTTAATATCAGAGAATTGAACAATAAGAATTGAAAATATTTTAAAGGAATTAACATGTTATTTTAGGATTGTATTATAACATTCAACATTATCTCTAATCAACAGACATGGCAGTATAATATCAGCGATAATACATGTTTTTAAAAGTCAAAAACAAAACCCAAACATGTAATAACTGAAAATATGAACTTAATTTCGATGTAATTTTGATTTGTTGTCTATCCTATAGTACTACAAAGTACTTGATTTTTCTTAATATTATGGGCAATCAATTTTTCAGTACAGAAGAAGATTATTGAAGAGCGGTTTTTCGGATGTTGGCTACTTATCGATTCCAAAATTAAATGTGGGAAAGTAAACACGCAAATCGGAAACAAGAAGACATACTTAGCATATCGAACGACATTTTACGAAACATAAGAGAGAAATCTGATGAAATAAAATATTTCACATACAACAACACAAACGCTTCAGCGTGTTACAAACAGGTTAAATAGAAAACTCAAACATTACTCACTATTGAACTATTGTTACAAATATTTATTTGATTTAAGACAACGATTTCCTATGTTGTTTATCACTTTATCAATTTTAGTTAATGTACCACTCAAAAAAAGCATACATTGTACCTGTCGATCAAATAATAGTGGTTGTGCATTTAAGCTTTGATCGTATTGAATAAAATGAGCGGTATTACTAGATGATATCGATAGAAAAGAATGACAGTTGACATTCTCTATGTGAATAACAATCATTTTCATGAACTTTGAATATGTGGCTTAAAATTTAATCGATTTATATTTACAATCCAAACCAAGTTTATCAATATCTGTTTAACAACTTCTTTTCATACAAAACTTTTTTATTGAATAATAGATTTTCTTGTAAAAATGTTAACAATGCACACCATTTTAAGACTGTTTGCCAAGTCAGTTTTTATTGACGAAGCTTTTAGGTCTTGGTACAATTCAATGTGTATTTTTCAATAATAAGTTAAACTTTACATCACATAAATTATTATGACAAAAATATGAAATCCTTTAACAACTGGTTGAACAAGGAGTAGTCACAATTTTGGTCAGTACCATGTGCCTCATCAATGTAATATAATTGATGCAATCCTTATTACCTAGTCAGAAATGGTAGAATTGATGCTTTCGTCTTACTTATTTTATTATTTTATTTTATTTTATTGGGCCATTGTCGGTGATTATCGAATCGCTCTTTTTTTACACGATAAACGAATTGCAATAAAAAGGACAGATATGCTATGTACAATAGAAGTCACCTTTTACCAAAGGCCATGCTAGATATGAAATTATTGAAATAAAATATCACAGTGAGTTAAGTCGAACCCTTCGTCGTGATTCTTTTGATAGCGATTAAATTAAGTTTTGATCAGATACGATGTAATGAATTATGTATGGTATAATATATGATATGATTTGATATTACATATACACGATACTGTAGAAAACACGTTCTAAGAGTACATTTAAAAAGCCCCCCCCCCCCCCAAAAAAAAAATGCATGGTAATTTCATTTCTTAAACTAACAATTTTATTGCAGTTTAACTAAAATGATTTTTAATATGATGCATGATGCTGATGTTTTTTTCTTCTTCATGTAAACATTTAACGTAAATGAATAAAACCACCAAAATTATAGAAAATATTTAAAGATATCTTTTGGTAAAATATTTCTATCTTAGAAATGTATTGAAATCCATGAAATTCTTACTGAATATGTTTAATTTGAATAAAATAATGAATAAACTATGTATGGGAAGCTGCATTTCCTATTATGGGTCAAGTCAAGTTGGTCTTTTCTTAAAAAAAAAACTGCCAGTTTTTTTAATGACACTATATATTCATTTGGTGACCACATATAGTGTGTAGAGTTCAAAACATAACATATCTACTTTAAATGAAGTCGAAACATGTTTATTTTATACGTACAAAGAGACTGTGTAGCAATTATTAATATTTTTTAAAATCAAATTTGAGCATAGTATATCTTTAAACGCAATTATGCAAATGATCACAGTCAATAGGCCATACACGCGAAAGACGAATGCGAACAATTTGTGTAAACATGCATTAAAAAAACTGATCACTAAATATGCAAAAGACATGAGGATGCATTACACTAAGAAATACGTGAAAAGAGAATAATTAACATGTTCGTATCTCCGAATCCTTATAATATTAATTCAACAACGATAGAAAAGTATTTAAAGTATAGGGTCAACGATAAAAGAATTTAATAAAGAAGGACAGATGTACTATGTATAATATAAGTCTCCTTTTACAAAAGGCCATGCTTTGTTTGAAATAATTGAAATAAAATATCACAGTGAGTTAAGTTGAACCCTTCGTCGTGATTGCTTTGATAGCGACTAAGTAAGGTTTTGATAAGATAAAAGATAATGAACTATAATATGATCTGATATATGATATATGTTATGATATGACATACACATGATACTTTAAAAAGCACGTTCTGAGGGTACATTTTAATTTGAATCATAAAAAGGTTATTGCCTTGCACTTCAGATTTTTAAAGTACACTTTTTGATTTATTTGGCACAGTTTGTAGAGACAATAATACGATCTCTGTAGTAAGTGTTGTCCGTCAAATGTATAAATTACTAAGTGAATATAATAAGATTTGTATCGATAAATGTGAATAAAATAAAATATAGCTTATATTATAAGCAAAGGTTATCATATATGAATTATTGTACTAGTATGATTTCAAGTCTCACCGGATATTTGTTATTTTTTAATATGTTTTCAAGTGCTATTGATTAAGTAAGCATATTTTATTTTATTATTTAAGCGAACAATATTTTTACAGCCTTTTTTTATAGCTTTATTATTCTCTGTTATCCTTCGAGCAAATACCATTATTGGTTTGCACTTAAGTCATATCACAAAGTTAAACATCGTTAGTTACGTAAATGTACCAAATTGGTACAGCAACGGTTTGAAAGAATGCCACATTACAACATAAAGCTTTATATTAATTTGTCCGTGTACTTTAAATTAATAAGGATACCAGATGTAATATACAACCACAAAGATGAAAAACATTTTACAAAGACACGAACCATTTCTTCATCCTCTTCTGAATTCTATGTAGTCTGATAAAAACATTTTACTACAGGTAAACACTTAACGCTTGCAATTAAGGCCGTAAGATTGATTAACCTCTTTAGTACAACAAGTTCTTACTTAAGATTTCATAAGATATTTTTCCAATTATCATTTTTTTTTCGTTTTCGACACAAAAGACTTCACGAACATGACACCGACTGATTAAAAGTTGACATATAAACAAATCGATCTTCAAACATGTTCAAAAGTGCAAGAACTATTTTAGTTTAAAAGCAATGAGAATGACAAATTAATATAAAGATACTTGTGAATTTATACGCATACCTATACTTGGGAACCATACGACGCGTCATATTAAAGGTTCCATGATAACCACCGTATGAACACATCTGCGGATGTTTCTAGATTCAAAATTTCACCATTTTCGTAATTTTGCTTCAGCCGTTGCTAGGGGGCGTGGACGTCCATGATCAGGCTCAATCAAATCGAGCCTGCAGCATTGTCAATTTTGCCGTGTCGCACTTTCTTGATGGATTCTGTTTTTTTCTGTATTTTATAAGCATAATGAAGTGTAAATGATTTCTTTTAAATAACAAAAAACAAAAAAATGACAATAATTAATTAAAAAAGTATTTTTGTTTATCATTGTAGTATGTATTGTCATTAAGATATATTTTATGTTCTAAAAATGTATTTCCGCCCATACATTTTACATTTTAAGTGTTTATTTGTAGAATATCAAACAGTTAAACTAAATGACTTTATATCTGACAAAATATTGACTATCCGACATAGAACATTTATATACATCCTACATTATCTACTTTCTTCCTGTCAATTGCACACTACAAAGACCTTTCAATATGTGAAGCTTCGTAAATAATGTTAGAAGATAAGAAAATGTATCTTAGCTTGTTAGCGACCTAACGGACGTAAGACCTTTCAACAATTCGAGTCCTTATTGTTATTTCTATTGGATACTACAGAAAAATGTTAATGTTATGAGATTAAATGTATGTAAGTGAATAAATGTATGATTTACTTTTTCACAACATATCTTGAAACAATCTTGGAACCTCATGCACAGGTCAAGAAGCCGGAGATTATAATGTAATGCTCTTCCGGGTTTTGTTCATTAATGTTTCTTACATTCTCTTCCCAGCAAAACACATGACGTTAAAATAACGTCGGATTTATGTTAGATTTTGGTCACGACGTCGGCGACCAAAATACGACGTAAATCTGACGTTAAAATACCGATGTCTAATAGACGTTTCTTTTTGACGTCGTACTAACGTCAGGTTATGGTCGGTGTCCTTACGGTAGGTAAAAAAAAATACAAAAAATAATCCTTATTCGCTGTTGTAATCATTTAAACTTTTTTTCAAATGTTATTTGGATTACAAATGAAGTGTTCTTATATAAATACAGACCAAGATCGCGGCGCTGCAACCTAATAAAACATAAAGGTGGCGCTGTATATACGCAAGTTACATGTGTTATTGTTATGGAATCTATTTATAGCTACAGATCTGTTTACAAGTTCCAATCATTTAACGTTGTAATAGTATCATTTGTGGCACATTATATGTATCAACATGACGTGTTTTTAATAGTGCTTTAACATTTAATCATAGTGACAGAAAAGGGAAAGAAAACATAATTAACCTTTAATTCGAATCTAAAGTCACGTGGATAGAAATTCAAATTCGTAGGCGTTACGTTTTGGCTGGCGGTCAGGAATCGGGATGCATTGATAAGTGAATATTATAGGTTTTCTTGAACAAAAAGGTCAGTTCAATTTATTTAGATTTATTTCTACTTTGTATTTGATAAATAATTGCATGATTGCAAGCACTCTTAAATTTAATTATCATTTTTTGAACAGCTGAAGTAAAATGTCACACAAATTCGCGATAATGTCTAATAATAAATCTTTTTAAAATTGACATGTTTTAACTCTGCTTGTGAAGAGTTTATAATACGCCTTTCAGTACTACCAAAGAGAATGCTTAGTTTTCATATTTTTCTTAAACTGTGATGTTTTTGTCAGTTAAAATCTGAGAATTGAGAATGAATTTGTACGATTTCGAGCATTTAGGACCAAGACGTTTCGGTCCCAAATAACCCAAAACGTTCCGGTCCCAAATAACGCAAGACGTTTTGGTTCCAGACATTTCGGCATTAAATCTTTAATTTAAAACTATGAAATATTTTAGACTTGCGTAACTGTTCTATTTCAAACGTAGAATATATACATAAGTTAGAATATAATTTTCTTTTCAGGGAGTTTAAGTGTTGGACATGCTCTCAAAGGTCGGAGGGACGGAAACACATGAATATGTAAAAAGAAACATATGAAAGTAAGATTTTTGTAAATTCTATTACATACTTTAATCCATACTAAACTGGAGTTTAAAAGCGGCTTTTTAAATGTTCAGTATTTATGTTTACTTTTAATTTTTGTTAAAGCTCTCTTATAAAAAGTTGGCAAAATTGTTCATTAAGTTAATATAACCATGAAAAGATTTTTGCTTGTTATTTTTACTTGTTTCATTAATTTCTTTTTTTTTCAGTGAAAATGATGTCACACACGCTATTGGGCGCTACATATCCTCCGGACAGACGAGGGGTGCTGAAAGAAGGTCATATCTTAAAGCATCACACCTCAAAATTCGTGCTAATTCTCATGGATATCTAAAAGTATAACTTTGTGAAGTAACTAAAAGGCAGCAATTTATACACTACTGACAATTATCAAAGGAGGTCAAAATATGCAAAATGGCACTAAATGTTTTAGAAATGCTGTAGAAATATAGTTAAAGTACTGAAAATCTGTCATTAATTGCTTGAAACATTATTATCAGAATCTTTTAACTTTTCTTAAAATTATAATATTTTCATTGTTTTATTTGATAAGGCAAACTTTGATAGAAATGTGCATACATTGTTTTGTTCTTAAATATTTGTACATGTTTTCTTAGTTCCATTTATGTCATTGTTTTTGTAATACTTTTTGTTTTGTAATTCACTTATTTTATGTTTTATTTTGTTTAATTTATGAAAATTATTTAACCTTGCAGAATTTACTAAAGTTGTATGTATCAGCTTAAAATTGCAACTTTTATCTTAAATTAAAAAAACATGAAACATATTTTTGCTTTTAGTTTTCTGTTATACATTTCATTTGAGGGAAAGTTACTTGATAGAATGAGTTACATTAAATAAGATCAAATCAGGATTAGCCAGAAAATATTTATAACGTGGTGAAACAAAAAGGATTAGGGGAATGATAAGATGAAGGTCAGAAAATGATCAGATTTAGGGCAAAAAAAGGGTTAATATTTAGGTCGGAAAATGGTCAGATTGAGGTCGGAAAATGGTTAGAAACTGGTTAGATTTAGGTCGGAAAATGGTCAGATTGAGGTCGGAAAATGGTCAGATTGAGGTCGGAAAATGGTTAGATAATGGTCAGATTTTGGTCATAAAAAGGTTAAATAATGGTTAGATTCTAACGTCTACCTGACGTCAGATTATTACGTCAAAAAAACTTTCAAATCCAACCGTTTTTCCGACCGTCATCCGACGTCAGAACCTGATATAAATCTGACGTCAGTATGACGTCTTGTGTTTGCTGGGTAAGTATTATAGATATATAATTGATCAAAGCATTATGGGTTCATAATTGTATATAAAGATACATACGAATACAATCATTAAACAATTTATAAGACCTGAATATATGATTCATTTTTATATAATAAATAAAAAAACAATACAAACAAAGTGACTAACATAATACTTTTATCATTTTAACAACCGTCAACACGTTATTTTTATATTTGTTAAGAGAAAGTTACAAAATAATAAACGCATATTGTGGCCAAAGATATATTTTGAATTTGATGGCGCCAAATTATTAGCAGCATGGCTATAAAAAGTTTATTACAGTTCAGTTAAGTGGACAAGATTTTCTTCTTAGCAATATATAAACCCTTTGTTTACACTAGCAAATATCAATACAAAAGTAATCCCTTGTTGCAGCCTATCCTATTACAATTTTGCATTAACTTCTTAATTAAGTAGTTAAACAAGCCTTAAATATCTATTTAAATTAAAAAGTATATTATTGTGTATGGTAAAGCAATCATAAAAATATAAAGCTATTATAATGAAACAATTATCTTATAATAAAAAAACTATAAACTGTTATAACACGAATAAAAATATAATTGTTTTATTGCATGAAACTATAACAGCATTTCTTAACTGAAACAAACATTAACAATATCTGTGCATGTAAATATTATATGTAACATTATTTCTATTTCGTTTAATTTACTGATTTAAGCGATTACAGGTTCAATTCCTGCTATATTTTAACCGAGGTAAATCTACAGGTCGATATGTACTCCTTTTAAGAAGTAAAGATATAGTGTCCCGAACTCGTTACCTTGGTGCACTTAGAACATATTACTTGATTCTAAATGAACATTACCACAAACGTTCAATAAAACTGTCTTCCTTTTATTAAATTGGACGATCGATGTAGTACAGCAATATGTCATTCGAATAAATCAAGCTGTCTCTGTTTCAGTATTGTCATGATAATTAAATTCAGTATTGCATTTCGGTGTTGTACATTTTTGTATATATTTTCTGGACCTTTGAGATTAATGCTTTCAATACTAATGGCGTCTAGTTTTGACTAATATGCAACATGTCAGTCGGTGCTAGGGATGTGAAAGGTGAAGCATCTTCCACCAACTCAATTAAACGGAGTGTGTGATTTTAAACATCTTTATTGTCACATTTATTTTGAATATGGATCTTTTTGAGAATTGATTTTCAGCTTCTGTTACATGTATACACATCATCGTTAAGAATTAAATAATCAATAAACAATCAATACTCAAGCTTTCAATAAGATATAAGGAATTTTTACTCCAAAGTATTTAAATTTACTGTTAAACCTACCATATGTCAGACCATTTTACATACGATTTATACAGTGAGATACGCAACCCGTTATCTTTACTCGAAATACCACTGATAAAAATAGCCGGTCGTCTGCTAGTTCTGAAAGTGTTTATCGGTGTATTGTCAAATATTTGGGTTTTTTTCTTCTTTGATCTGGGGGGATCTTCCCTTTTTCCAAACGTTTATTTAAACTTTCAAAAGTTTCAATTTAGCCAGGAATTTTGCATTTTTATTTACATTTAATACAACAAATAACGTAATAAGCCTAAACTTTCATTTAGGAATTACTTGAGAATATAGAATTAGAGTTAACATTATGTTTGAAACAACATATAAAAGAAATGATTCACAAATATGTGAGTTACTTTCTAGTTAAGGCAATACAATATCATTGACACTTCTAATAGAAACCTGTAAATAAAACTGCATACATGTATATAAAATTATGAAATTAGATTTAATGTTATTATTATTATTATGTAATAACTGAAAATATTGATTAAATTTAGATATAGTTTTGACATCTATCATATTCTTAATACGATATGAATCTCCGAACATTATTTGAAACTGAAACATTATCACTGAAACACACCTTATAAACCTAGCGACCCAAGATGATTTAAATCCATACTTAAATCATATAACCTTATGATACATTATTGCCTCATGCTTTGGTACGTATCGTTGGATTTGAAGTGTACTACGTTCTAGTTTAATTATTCAAGAATTGTTGTAAATGAATTAAAACAAAAACATAAATCAAAAATTTGCTGTGATCATAATCTATGAAATATAGTTTATATCATCAGAAGGTATAATAACGATTAAAACCCATCAGTTTTAGTTAAAACGTTTTCAGAAAAATGCATATCATTTTCAGCGAAAGGAAACATAAATTACATATATAATTGTGATTACAAAGTGCTGTAATTGGAACAGTTTCGCTGTATTCAATATGACATAAAAACAATTTTGCAATTTAGATAAAAGGTCTAATGTTTTAAGGAATTCTTCACTTAGAAATACGTAATTGTTTTACCGGTCTTTTATGACATAACTATTCGTGAATCAATCAAATAATTCAACTAGAGTACCAAGTTAGATGTCACATTGATTTACCAAAGAAGAAAATAATCTATTTCGAATCGCTTTAATCAACATATCTGCTATGTGCCTTTTACTGCGTTGTTGCTACTTAAATTGGCGCCATCAAATTCCAAGTATATCTGAAAAGTGTCCCGGTGTTCGCCTTCTACCGTATTCGTTTGTTATCTTGTTTCAAAGTAACTTTTGCACGTCAAATCATGAAAACCGTAAACAGTTGTTCACTTCTTGAGATGAAATAAACATGCAAGGATTTTGTAACGTGGTTTGAATTGTTGTTTAAAGATATAAATAATTCAGTACAAGCCATAGATGTAACGCTGAAATTATAAGTTATAACATTTTTGGCAGATATTTTGCCTAACCGAACCGTCAGAAAAAAATACTCCATAAATTTACAGTAGCCATGTATAATTTATATATGAGAATCACGAGTATCCAATGCAAAGTGACGTTATAAAGGTGCAGAAGTATAAGATAACTGTATTCACTAGTTGATGTATATTCAATTATATGCATGTATATATAATGCTATGAACTGAACGTTATTAACACGTACAGTGAACGTAACACGGAAAATATTTTTTTTTAATTTTACTGCTTGTTTATTTTTGCGCATCAATTATATGTGGTCATATATATAAATTACTGACATTTTGTGAATGCTGTGAGATTCATGGATTGTTGTGAACATGCAAGATCATATATTTATTTTACAGAAGAAATCATTTACTCTTTTCTGTAGTATCCAAAACTGTAACAAATAATAATGACTTGAATGATTTATATCTCTTGCGACCGTTGAGTATCAAGCAAAGATTATATGTACACATCGTATCTTGAAACATTCGTTCATAGCTAATTACATGCAATACTTCACGAAGCTTTAAAGCTCATGGCTGCATGCTATTGACACTATTTAACATCGTTTTTTTGCACGAACTATGTATAATTGTATCGCATAAATGGTTGAGTAAGCACTCAATTGATGCAATACATGTGTATTGGTCGGGGACCATCAACCGGACACTTTTGGAACATTTTTCCGTACAGATTTTTAATAATTTTTAACCTAGAGACCAACAAATTTAACGCAGTTCAGCTAGGTTACCATGTGTCCGGATAGATATGTACATGATCTGATGTTATTCAAATAAAAGCTTGGGTGTTTCCATTTTTGATTTTTAATATGATATACAATATTTTAGCAACAAATGCTGAAGATTTGGATATTCTTTTGTTTACAGTACTCTTCAAATGATTAGAGCTGGTATATGAGGTCAGGCATTGTTTTCTTCACCGCTAAATTTCAATGTCAACATACTTGAAATAGACATTTAAATATTACCATTTACGGAGGTTGAAATAGATTTATTTACTTAATTTTAGAAGAAACATGCATTTATTGCTGATAAAAAAGTGACTGACAACCACCACTGAACAAAGAAAATACTAGATTAGGCATTTTCGGGGCCGCCCGGGTTTGGTAGTTGTCCGGTTTTGGTGGTCCCCAACCAGTAAATCAGTTCAGTCTAGCTTTGTCAATAGCTCGATTAACGCTACTAAAGCTTTAATGGTTGGAAAAATGTCTCCTCCCACTGACCAAATACAATCCTATATCAAGAAACGCTGTATTCTTTGTATACAGACAAAAGACATATTTTATGAAATATGCCGTGTTTATGAGAAAAATCAATGAATTTTCGTTTTCATCTGGTGTAAAAATTAAAAAGTGGATTCAGTAAAAGATGTCTGGTTGTTGCATGGCAGTGTTTAGTCAAGCGGCCATTGTACGAGAATAACAGGAAGTCGTTATCAAGCTTCTTCACCCTCCTTATTCGCCAGCCTTGCCTCTTGTGACTTTTTCCTATTTACGAGGCTAAAAAAGCCAACCTTACTTGAAGAAAATATCAAACGCGAAAAATATCGGTTCAGGTATTTTCTAGCGTCTCAACAGTTTACCTCGAATAGATTATGGAAACGCATTTAAGAATTGGATTACAGGACTAAAACGTTGTATATCACATTGAATGATTGATATTATTGTTGTGCACTGTCTGTTAAGCATTTCTGACAATTGATCCAGTTGTACTCATATTTGAGCACACCTCGTATAACTGTTCTTAGTGTTATAGATATATAATTGTATAATTATTAAGAAACACCCAAATTCAAAAATTTAAAAGCATTGTGTCTAGGATTATTTTTTTATTTTCTAAAAACAACAATACAACAATGTTGCAATATCTTCGCATACTTTTATCATTATAAATATAAAAAGTAACCGTCAACACGTTTTTTATATTTGTTAAGAGAAAGATTCAAAATAATAAAGTTAACAACATCGTAGGAGGCGAAAACCACAAAGGATATAGCTGGAATTTTAATGGCGCCAATATTTAGCAACATCGCTATAAAAAGTGTATTACAGTTCAGTTTAAGCGGAAAGGATTTACATCTAAGAAATATATAAACCCTTTGTTTATACTAGCAAATATTAATACAA